GCTCCTCCCTCCCTCCTCACCATCTCCCATACACCAACACTGCTCTTCCCTCCCTCCTCACCATCTCCCATACACCAACACCGCTCTTCCCTCCCTCCTCACCATCTCCCATACACCAACACTGCTCTTCCCTCCCTCCTCACCATCTCCCATACACCAACACCGCTCTTCCCTCCCTCCTCACCATCTCCCATACACCAACACTGCTCCTCCCTCCCTCCTCACCCTCCCCATACACCAACACCGCTCTTCCCTCCCTCCTCACCATCTCCCATACACCAACACTGCTCCTCCCTCCCTCCTCACCCTCCCCATACACCAACACTGCTCTTCCCTCCCTCCTCACCATCTCCCATACACCAACACCGCTCTTCCCTCCCTCCTCACCATCTCCCATACACCAACACTGCTCCTCCCTCCCTCCTCACCATCTCCCATACACCAACACTGCTCCTCCCTCCCTCCTCACCATCTCCCATACACCAACACTGCTCTTCCCTCCCTCCTCACCATCTCCCATACACCAACACTGCTCCTCCCTCCCTCCTCACCATCCCCATACACCAACACTGCTCCTCCCTCCCTCCTCACCATCTCCCATGCGCCAACAAGAGTCCTCAGTAAAGGTAAGGTACAATTAAATGTTCACTAATTTTATTGATGGTTTATATTTATATCTGATTGTTTTGTGTATGAAAAATACAAATTATATTCAGCATAAAATGTATTTTTAAGTTAATATTTATGGGTGTGGGGAACAGATTAAATCAATTTACATTACAGTATTTCTTATGAGAAAAAAATTTCGGATTGTGAATTTTCGGTTTACGAGCCGTCTCTGGGAACAAATTAAATTTGAAAAAGAAGGTACCACTGTATAGATATAATAGGTCTATGTATGTGTAATAGAGTTTACCTTGACTCATGAAAAAATCATGTTACCATTTCATGATACGAATGTGGTAATCATGACTGTTACTAGGGAACGGCAGTCATTGTCATGACAATTTAAGCAATCACTGTCTGGGTTTTACATGTATGAGGCAAATATGCATATAATAGTTCTCTTGTGGATGTAAATAAAGAAAAACAAGAGATAAAACAATGGGTGAAATATCCGAGGATAAAACAGGAGGAAGCATCAGCAAGTGTAGCACCAGGTGTCCACAAGTGCCAGGTGCAGCCTTGCAGCATGAGCAAGTGTAGCACCAGGTGTCCACAAGTGCCAGGTGCAGCCTTGCAGCATCAGCAAGTGTAGCACCAGGTGTCCACAAGTGCCAGGTGCAGCCTTGCAGCATGAGCAAGTGTAGCACCAGGTGTCCACAAGTGCCAGGTGCAGCCTTGCAGCATCAGCAAGTGTAGCACCAGGTGTCCACAAGTGCCAGGTGCAGCCTTGCAGCATCAGCAAGTGTAGCACCAGGTGTCCACAAGTGCCAGGTGCAGCCTTGCAGCATCAGCAAGTGTAGCACCAGGTGTCCACAAGTGCCAGGTGCAGCCTTGCAGCATCAGCAAGTGTAGCACCAGGTGTCCACAAGTGCCAGGTGCAGCCTTGCAGCATGAGCAAGTGTAGCACCAGGTGTCCACAAGTGCCAGGTGCAGCCTTGCAGCATCAGCAAGTGTAGCACCAGGTGTCCACAAGTGCCAGGTGCAGCCTTGCAGCATCAGCAAGTGTAGCACCAGGTGTCCACAAGTGCCAGGTGCAGCCTTGCAGCATCAGCAAGTGTAGCACCAGGTGTCCACAAGTGCCAGGTGCAGCCTTGCAGCATCAGCAAGTGTAGCACCAGGTGTCCACAAGTGCCAGGTGCAGCCTTGCAGCATGAGCAAGTGTAGCACCAGGTGTCCACAAGTGCCAGGTGCAGCCTTGCAGCATCAGCAAGTGTAGCACCAGGTGTCCACAAGTGCCAGGTGCAGCCTTGCAGCATCAGCAAGTGTAGCACCAGGTGTCCACAAGTGCCAGGTGCAGCCTTGCAGCATCAGCAAGTGTAGCACCAGGTGTCCACAAGTGCCAGGTGCAGCCTTGCAGCATCAGCAAGTGTAGCACCAGGTGTCCACAAGTGCCAGGTGCAGCCTTGCAGCATCAGCAAGTGTAGCACCAGGTGTCCACAAGTGCCAGGTGCAGCCTTGCAGCATCAGCAAGTGTAGCACCAGGTGTCCACAAGTGCCAGGTGCAGCCTTGCAGCATCAGCAAGTGTAGCACCAGGTGTCCACAAGTGCCAGGTGCAGCCTTGCAGCATCAGCAAGTGTAGCACCAGGTGTCCACAAGTGCCAGGTGCAGCCTTGCAGCATCAGCAAGTGTAGCACCAGGTGTCCACAAGTGCCAGGTGCAGCCTTGCAGCATCAGCAAGTGTAGCACCAGGTGTCCACAAGTGCCAGGTGCAGCCTTGCAGCATCAGCAAGTGTAGCACCAGGTGTCCACAAGTGCCAGGTGCAGCCTTGCAGCATCAGCAAGTGTAGCACCAGGTGTCCACAAGTGCCAGGTGCAGCCTTGCAGCATGAGCAAGTGTAGCACCAGGTGTCCACAAGTGCCAGGTGCAGCCTTGCAGCATCAGCAAGTGTAGCACCAGGTGTCCACAAGTGCCAGGTGCAGCCTTGCAGCATCAGCAAGTGTAGCACCAGGTGTCCACAAGTGCCAGGTGCAGCCTTGCAGCATGAGCAAGTGTAGCACCAGGTGTCCACAAGTGCCAGGTGCAGCCTTGCAGCATCAGCAAGTGTAGCACCAGGTGTCCACAAGTGCCAGGTGCAGCCTTGCAGCATCAGCAAGTGTAGCACCAGGTGTCCACAAGTGCCAGGTGCAGCCTTGCAGCATGAGCAAGTGTAGCACCAGGTGTCCACAAGTGCCAGGTGCAGCCTTGCAGCATGAGCAAGTGTAGCACCAGGTGTCCACAAGTGCCAGGTGCAGCCTTGCAGCATCAGCAAGTGTAGCACCAGGTGTCCACAAGTGCCAGGTGCAGCCTTGCAGCATCAGCAAGTGTAGCACCAGGTGTCCACAAGTGCCAGGTGCAGCCTTGCAGCATCAGCAAGTGTAGCACCAGGTGTCCACAAGTGCCAGGTGCAGCCTTGCAGCATGAGCAAGTGTAGCACCAGGTGTCCACAAGTGCCAGGTGCAGCCTTGCAGCATGAGCAAGTGTAGCACCAGGTGTCCACAAGTGCCAGGTGCAGCCTTGCAGCATCAGCAAGTGTAGCACCAGGTGTCCACAAGTGCCAGGTGCAGCCTTGCAGCATCAGCAAGTGTAGCACCAGGTGTCCACAAGTGCCAGGTGCAGCCTTGCAGCATCAGCAAGTGTAGCACCAGGTGTCCACAAGTGCCAGGTGCAGCCTTGCAGCATCAGCAAGTGTAGCACCAGGTGTCCACAAGTGCCAGGTGCAGCCTTGCAGCATCAGCAAGTGTAGCACCAGGTGTCCCCAAGTGCCAGGTGCAGCCTTGCAGCATCAGCAAGTGTAGCACCAGGTGTCCACAAGTGCCAGGTGCAGCCTTGCAGCATCAGCAAGTGTAGCACCAGGTGTCCACAAGTGCCAGGTGCAGCCTTGCAGCATCAGCAAGTGTAGCACCAGGTGTCCACAAGTGCCAGGTGCAGCCTTGTAGACCACATCCACCCAGTGAAATGATAAATATCCACTTATTTTCATGTTTTTCTTAACATCCGGAATACATATTAACAATTTTATGATGAAAAATTGTTTTATTATATTTTTTTGTGCATAGGCAGGTAAGATTATTTATTACTCCATAGCCGCTGTCTAAGGATTAATTATGTACATGGATGGTGAAATACTAAAAAACTGTTCATGACTTTTATGAGACCAAAACTGGAATATGCAGCAGTCGTATGGTGCCCAAACCTCAAGCAGCACATAAATAAACTGAAAAAGGTGCAAAGGCATGCTACAAAATGGCTTCCGGAAGTGAAAACAGTTACGAAGAAAGGCTAGAGGTGTTAAATATACAGAATATAGAAGAAAAAAAAGTGGTGGTACGACTACTACTAGTACTTAAAAAATAATATCAGAAATTGACTAAAATGACAAAGAGGAATTCCTAAAACTAGCAACTTCATGAACAAGAGGACACATATTTAAGCTAAGGAAAGGTGCCAAAAAATATTACAGTTTTCTTTTGCAGCCAGAGTGGTAGATGGTTGGTATAAGTTAAGTGAGAAGGTGGAGGCCAAAACCATCAGTAGTTTCAAAGCGTTATATGACAAAGAGCACTTGGAAGATGAGATACCTCAAACGTAGCTCTCATCCTGTAACAACACTTAGGCAATTACACGAGACCAGAATCCCCCTGTTGAAAAGCAGATGCAAGAGACATTCTGAGAAAAAGAACTATCAACATCAGAAGCACGAAACTGTTCAACACACTTCCACTACACATATGGAGCATAACTGGCTGATCCCCTCACTGTGTTCAAGAGAGAACTCTTGAAACACCTACAAAGGATACCTGATCAACTAGATGGTAATTTATACATCAGGCTGCATGCAGCTGCATCCAACAGCCTGGTTGACCAGACCATCAACCAGGAGGCCTGGTCAGAGACTGGGCCACAGGGATGTTGATCCCCGAAATCAATGCAAGGTAGGAGGACTCAATGCACTCAAAATGTATTCCTCAGAGACAACAGATGTATGGACATGGAAGATACTGGAAGACTATGTCCCAAATATGCATCACAAAATAATGACCTACTGAAGCAAAAAATATATTAGGAAATGCAAAACACAGTGAAGAGTAGAGGTGCCAGAGTTGCAATCAAACACTGAACGTCAGAGGGTCACGGCTCTTCAACCTCCTCCCATCAAATATAAGAAATACTGCCAGAACAAGTGAATGGAGAAGTCTACCTACCTCAAAACAGTAACAAATATTTGAGATTAAAAATTAAATTACGTAAGCAAGGCATAGACAGAGAGAGAAGGGCGACTTGGGGAACGGACTTTTGTTAGTGCAATAAAAATAATGCTTACAAAAAATAGGAAACAATGTCATGTAGATGTACCTTCAAATAAGGTGGAGTCCATTAATTCATCAAGAGTGCCCAGCTGCTCTGGATTGGTGACCATATTAAGGAGAGGTTCCCCAAGTATCTCCCGGGCTTCCTCACTCTCAAGGACACTCTCAAGCCGTCGAAAAGCATCGGCATCCAAAGGCAGCTCGGCATAGTTCCCAGCACCTCCAATCTGTCCTGTTAAATACAAACACAAAAGAAAGATCCATTTCAATCACAGCCAATGCAGGTAGGTATTCCTGGCCTTTATGCCAAGCATGTATCACAACAGACAATAGAGGTTAACCTTGTTTAACATCACCCCAATTAATGTCGCTTCATTTTTATGCTGTTAAGAAAATTAAATTAACAAATTTAACATCAGACAGGCATTCTTGTTTAACCACTACTGTGCTGGTATATATGGCAGGCCATTGATTCAAGCAGCCGACGTCACCTGGAGCACCAAAAGACCCAGAAATATAAAACATACAACACTTATTACTTCAAACACTGCTATCATCAGATTCCAGTCACTAAATCATGAATGTCAATAATTTTCCACAAGATTATTTTCTAAAGGAACATAAGGGCACATGGCATGATGTGTAGATTTACACACCCTGGCTGTGTGCTGTGAACGTCTGCCTCCTACTATGTACATCATAATTAACATTCTGTTCACCGATATCTGAACCTTGAACATAATTTTTATTACAGTCAGGATCATCTATGACCATCACAATAATAGCAGTTACTTATTTTATTCATGATTATTAAGTGTTGCTGTGACTTGCTCAGCTGTACTGTGAGCTGCAGCTACATATGCCAGCCTTGGTTGCTCTGGCAGTACCCAGGCTCTCACAGACAGGGATTACCTTGAGGTTACCTTGCGATGATTTTGGGGCTCAACGTCCCCCGCGGCCCGGTCCTCGACCGGGCCTCCTGGTTGCTGGACTGGTCAACCAGGCTGTTGGTCACAGACTGATGTATGAATCACGGCCTGGTTGATTAGGTATCCTTTGGAGGTGTTTAACGAATTCTTTCTTGAACACTGTGAGGGGTCTGTTAGTTTTGCCCCTTATGTGTAGTGGAAGCGTGTTGAACAGTCTCGGGCCTCTGATGTTGAGAGAGTTCTCTCTCAGAGTACCTATTGCACCTCTGCTTTTTTAACAACAAGGGTATTCTGCAAATCCTGACATGCCTTCTGGTCTCCTGTAATTACCTAAGTGTAGTTACAGGATGAGAGCTACGCTCGTGGTGTCCCGTCTTCCCAGCACTCTTTGTCATATAATGCTTTGAAATCTCTGACGGTTTTGGCCTCCACCACCACCTCACCTAACTTGTTCCAACCGTCTACCACTCTGTTTACAAAAGCGAATTTTCTTATATTTCTCCGGCAGCTTTGTTTCGTAAGTTTAAATCTATGATCTCTTGTTCTTGAAGTTCCAGGTGTCAGGAATGCTTCCCAATCAATTTTATCGAGTCCTGTTACTATTTTGTACGTAGTGATCATATTGCCTCTTTTTCTTCTATCTTCTAGATTTTGCATGTTTAATGCCTCTAACCTCTCCTCATAGCTCTTGTCCTTCAGTTCTGGGAGCCACTTAGTGGCCTGTCTTTGCACCTTTTCCAGTTTGATGATGTGCTTCTTAAGATATGGGCACCACACAACTACTGCATATTTTAGCTGTGGTCTAACAAGTCACAATTTCTTTAGTATTTCTCCATCCATGTATTTAAAAGCAATTCTGAAGTTAGAACGTGTAGCATAGGCTCTTCGCACAATGTTCTTAATGTGGTTCTCAGGTGACAGTTTTCTATCTAGAACCACCCCTAGATCCCTTTCTTTGTCAGAATTCTTTAAAGATTTCTCACATAATTTATAGGCTGTGTGGGGTCTATATTCTCCGATTCCACATTTTATAACATGGCATTTATTCACATTAAATTCCATTTGCTAAGTGGTGCTCCATATACTACTTTGTCCAGGTCTTCTTGAAGGGCATGACAATCATCTAGGTTTCTTATCTTCCCTATTATCTTAGCATCATCAGCAAACATGTTCATATAATTCTGTATGCCATCTGGTAGATCGTTTATGTAGACAATGAACATTACCGGTGCAAGAACTGAACCCCGTGGTACCCCACTTGTGACATTCCTCCAATCCGATACATTGCCTCTGATTACGGCCCTCATTTTACAATCAGTTAGGAAATTTTTCATCCATGTTAGAAGCTATCCTGTCACCCCTCCAATATGTTCCAGTTTCCAGAACAACCTCACTGCCGTGTAGTTGTTTCTTGCATCTTTATATCACTGGTATGTTTGGGGGGTTTGGCCTCTTCCCACATCGATTCCATTTTTTTGTCTTTTGGTCTCTGGCCCTCTCGCAATTTCTGTTGAACCAATCCTGTTTCCTAGTTCTGCATCTCTGCTTTGGTATACAGTATACTGTTTATTTTTTTGTGCCTTTATCATATTTTTCACAAAACTTGACATCTCATTTATTTCATGTCCTAACAGCAAGTCTTTCCAGTCAAATTCCTTCTTAAAGAAATGTCCGAGTTGCCCCAAATGACTTTTCCTGAAATCAGGCTTTTCAACTGCTTTAACCTCATTTTCTTCCAGATTATAACGCATTGCATACTTCATTCCCAAAAAGACATGATCACTTTTACCCAAGGGAGGGAGGTACTGAATGTCAAATATCTCTTCCTCTTTCCTGGTAAATATCAAATCCAGCATGGAGGGAACATCCCCTTCCCTCATCCTCATATCTTGTTTAACATGTTGAAACATGAATGTTCCCAGGATGAGGTTTATGAATCTACAAATCCAAAAAAAAACAGTGTTGAATGTAATGAAACGCCATTTTCTGGGTGAGACCTGGAGGCTCCCCGGAGCTTACTAGGCTGATATGCTAATGTCAGACTTTGGCATCAGTCATGTGTATGCAGTTCTGTGGGCTTACCGGGGACCACGAGCCAGAACCTGGCCCCCCTCAGAGAGGCATGGGGAGCAATGGCCTATAGAAACCCCCGTGTGGTTGGAAGCATTCTGTCTGCCATCGACTGGGTCAGGCACCCAGAAAGGGTAAGCATCCTAAAACAAACCTCTATTCTGGTGAAAGTATTGCTACCAAAAGCCGAACAAGTGGATAGAACCGCGCCACTGGAGCTACCCTCCCCCCTCCCAGGGAGGGGGAAGGGGTAGCTCCAGACCCCTCACGCTGGCTATCCACCCGTCAGTTCTGAGCCTGGATGTCAAAACACGCGAAAAAAAATGCCAACATTGGATGCCGGGGAGCCTCCGGGTTTCACCCAGAAAATGGCATTTCATTACAGTCAACGCTGATTTTCTGGGGGGAACTCCTTCGGCTCCCCAGAGCTAACTACCCACAGAGGAAGAACATAGAGACCTACCCGGGAGGCGGTCATCGCTCACTCCACAACTCGAAGTCGAGACAACCGGCTGCAACCGCCGACCCAAAACAACACAGGCCCGACTAGGCCTAGGGACGTGCACGAGGGAACGAGCAGCCAGGACCCTGTACGACTGCCAAAAGCCTCATGCCCGAATGTCAGCCCAGGACATGGTGCCAAAGACAGCAGCAAGCGCAGTGAGCACACGAACGTCATGGGCATGGGGATAGACCGCAGGCTGGCTAGCCGAAGAACACTGCGGACGACCTGGGAGACCTGCACCCGCGAACAGAGAAGAAAGGGAAACCGGATCAACCCCAAGCGCGTCCCTGGACACAGAGGCCGAGGCGCGCAAGTAACAGGGAAGAGCTGCTACCTAGCACAAAACATGATGCACCCCTGGGCAACCAATCAAGCATCAACAACCCAGGGGACCCTTCTGGAAAGCAGCAGTTCCAATCTTCGCCAGAATAGAATGAGACAGCTGCAGACAAACAAAACCATCACGAAGACCGAAAGATCAGAAACCCCTGCTCTGGAGGAGAGCATGAAGCTCCCATACCCAACCCCCAGAGGCCAATGCCAACAGAAAAGAAGCCTCGGAGAACAAACCTGAACCGAAGGGGCCACAACAAACCGAGGAGAAGAAAGAAAAGAGCACTCTGTCCAATGACCAGGATGGCTCAGGCGGTGCAAGAGCAGGCCGGAGGAGAAACAATGCACTAGACAGTTTGTGAAACGGCGCAGAATTAACATAAAAACCGAAAGCAAGCCGAAGCGGCTCTGCCATCGCCGCACGAAACGAGACGACAGTATGGGGCAAGATGACGACCCCAAACCTCCACAAGAAATGGACAAGGCCACGCCAACAACCTCAGCTACTGAAGAAGAGACAGAAGGAAAAGGAAGGACCGCCAAAAACCCCACACTGCCGCCAAGAAGAAGCACGCAGGTGGGACACCATCAACGAAGCTACCCGACCACCAACAGAAATCGAGAGACTCGAGGCAGAACCGAACCGGCCCCGCCATGGGCCAGTTGAGCCTAGGAAGAGGTGGAGCCGCGGAAGATCTCGGGTGCGACCATGGAGCCATCAAAGCCGTAAACCCAAGCCGGCAAAGGAGGAGATGGAACATCCGCCGTATAGAAGACTTCAGCAAGACTTCAGCAAGCCTGCCAGGAGATCACTGAAGACAGTCCCGACGCGTGATTCTAAAGAAGGAAAACCGAGAGAACGCGAAAACGCCAACAGGCTGGGCAAGCCAGATAACCAGGAACCGAAATCTGGCAATAGGAGAGCCAAAAGGCACAAACAAAACTCAACCATGTGTAGGATAAAAGGAGAAAACAGAAAAACACAAGAAAAGACCAGAAGAAAAGAAGTATTGCAGTGTGAGAGTAGGAGACAAGCAGAACGCATGAAGAAGTGATGGGGTAGAGGATAACACCAGGCACAGTTTCAAGAGCAGGTATGATAAGAGCCCAGCAGGCCCAGGAACCTGTACATGAGCGAACGACAGGTGAGAAGCAAGATCAAAAAGCCAGAGCCCAACACCCACAACACAACTAGGGAAGTACAACTAGGTAAGTACCGTACAGAGAATCCAATATATATGGAAGGTCTAAACCAAGCACTGCAAGACGTGCAAGGAAAGAATGACCCAGATAAGACCATGAAAAATGGGGCCATGACCCCCCTTTGCAACAATGAATCCAGCTGAACAAGTAAGGCCTCAGGAAGAAGCACAGAAGGGCCAAACAAAAATCCCC